TCATAAAAGAACGAGCTGAGATTAGCTCACCCGTACCATACAGCTGCCAATGCGCACCCCTCGACGCTTATTCAAATGAAAACCGATGTAAAACTTCCTAAGCGTGATGAAAGCCTTCAAAAAGCTTGCCGTCTCGATGATTCTCGATGAGCATCGGTAGTCTCCCCATAACAGGACCTCCGAGATTATTCAACGGGGGATCTACATGACAGAAACGTTGGATATGTAAAACAAGGGTGAAGCAGACAGATCACTCACCCGTCTAAGTCTTTCAATGAATAACCCGCGTCGTAAGCATACGCACACCTTCTCGCCCTTCACCTTGGTTATCGGCCTGTCATATCCTAAGGAAGCCAATAAATGGCAAGTGCGGAATCTAATACAAGGCACATCGCACTTAATTTGCAGCGTGTAGTCCATCGGATGTGGGTGCACTGTGGGTGCATCCGAAATCGTCACAGGCCGAATCGCGATCTATGATTGATGCAGATGTGCGGTGAACACAGCACCACCCCTCGACCACAAACAAAATAAGAGAGACAAGATCCCGGTATCTTGCGGGCCTTGTCCTTACAACCACAGGAAGCCTTCAAAGTTCAAACAATAAAAGATTGATGATCATGTTCGCCGGTCAGCTGACTGTTAAGTACTGAGTTTCAACTGTTGGCAACGCCATTGGAAAAGTTAGAAAATGAAGTAAATGCCACCAAGTAACAGTCAACCTGGGATGCAATATCACGGAGTGAGAACAACATCACAATAAGGGCATTGCCATTCTGATGTAAACGCACGCTGCGCTAAATCCATCGTGCAATTCATGTATCTTGTATGTTGTTAGGATGGAATGTGGGTACTAAATAACTTGCACTGGTTGTTGTGCAGGGTTTTGGAGGTTTGTGCAAGAGCGCTGAAAGTTTTACCGTCGACCGCATAATGTGCAAACGGAGCTGTATCATCCAATTGGAAACCTATTCGGCATGCTCCGCATTCTGGAGGAGCGAACCCAAGAATGAAGAAACTGTTTGTGGGTGGTGAGTTCCAAAAATAGTGAGTGCGGAGCTGATACAAGGCGCAACAAACTCAATTTGCACCAATTTTCACAGCCTACTAATTCAAGATCCATGATTGATGGAGAATATAGCATCATCCCTAGATTACTTTTAAACAGAAATGTGAGGGCATGGGAGAAAAGAAGATCCAGGCGTCGCCCCTACTAGCAGTACAACAGCAGGAAGTTGGCGAGCTATCATGAAAGTTAGAAATGAAGTCAATGCCACCTCACATCCGGGGTGCAAATGCATACCTCTCAACGTTTACCGAGTAATCCCATGCGCTACTTTCGCCATTCCGCCTAAACCCTCGCTAGTTGCGCACATCACTTCGGAGTCCCATCCTTGAACAGCATTCTGGTAAGATCCATCAATGGCACGACAGATTTAACGTAGTGTGTATTTTCATCAAAGTGGTATACTAATAACTCATGCCAAGCCACGTGGTCGTGACGCTAGCCTGTTTACGCGTGTGCACTAGCATGCTTTTTTCATGCTTCATGGGCACACAGACGTGGACAGTACCTATATATGCTACAAGGCGGCCATCATATGACGAAAACCAATATCCCATAGTGCTTCCGATACAACGAGAGGTGGTAGTTATCCTCCAGGATGAGAAGCAAGAGCGAATTGAAACTTGCACTTCAACGTTTCGGCGACATTGCCTATAAACATCACTCGCTCATCGACTTTCTCGTTCAGTACACTGCTTTCCTCCGTTAATTGGTTGAAACATTCTCGATGTCAGGACTTATAGCAAATGATTTGAATACATACCACGACGAAAATATTACTCAAACCTATGTCTCCTTGAAATCTACTTCGGGACACAAAATAACTAAATAAGTACCGTAACGAGGCTTGGAATGGAGACAAAAGAAATCTTCCTGCTCCCTACCGAGCACCAGACACCCGTTAACATCTCCCATGTTACACACCACTGCCAGTCGATATATGCACGCGCTCCTGGAAAGCAATTGAGGTCATGCCAGATGCTGCGTCGGAGTCAGACACGAGCTTGGCGTGATATTCTCGAACGCCAAGGATCAGGCGTGGTCCAAATACAACCATCTGCACCACCCTCACAATCTGAAGAAACCCAGAAAAAATCTGAGCGCTCATAGCACTCTGTAGTAATGATAAATCATGGTCATATGCAGAAGTCAGCGACAGATTGACATACCGCTAACAATGTTGGATAGAAATTAATAACGAGCTGGAAGCCAGAAACAGTAACAAAGCTAACACGTACGACCCTTCAGTAGAAAAAGGAAACAACAATCACAACATAAGCTCACCTCGCAAAGTAAAGCATCTGAGTTTTAATCAACACCGTGAAACAGTCCCCGACAACCCCTCCTGCGGAATGTTGTCGCAGTTCACGGAAGTGTTTTACCGTGATCCAGGCTGCGAGACACATTGCAAGGACCTCCCACACAGTGGCAAGCATCCAAGTAATGGAGCCCAGAAGTAGGACATCTTCCGCGTAGGCAATCGAGCACTGATAGGTGCCGGAGAGAATGAGTTCCTCTGGTATTCATTGACGAGATGCATATTTTTGTCATCCCCAATGAAGCGTACCCCCTGAAGTATGCATCGTTGCCATTACGGCGACCACTCCGTTGAAAATGTTGTTAGCCAGGAAGGTGGCAAAGAGAAATATCAGAATTTTTCTGGACTGTTGGTACATGGCATGTAACCGAGTGATGATGATGACTTACAGCATGTTTCAGTCAAGTCAATACCACTGAGTTCCGACAAGTGCCAGGCTCACCCATCAGCATTGGAAATACCAAAACATTCGTCCAACTCCATGCGGTGAAGAGAATCCAGCCTGAGTAATCAGTCAGCGATCAGCCTCGGGTGGCACACACTCCAAAGAGACTCACATCTATGGCAGTCATTAGTGGACCAAGAAGTCAGTAAAGAATCATACTCACTCCTACAGGACATCACGGTTAATTGGAGGGGAATAGCAGGCATCTGTTCAAAAGACTCACTGTATCTGTCAGCGAGCTGGTCGTCACGGTAATACTGCCTGTATGACGTTGGTCAGAAGAAGCAAAGACAATGAATGTACTGAGAAGAAATACCCGGAATGTCCAGGCTGATTATAAGAGATAGATGATTAGCATAACACCGATTGTTTAACCTTCTGAACATACGCAGCAAATAGGATTCCAAGGTAGCGCACCTAGGATATTTTCACGTCAGCACAACATATAACCGTGAAAGGCAAGCTACATACACCGAGATACAGAACTGTCATGAGGGACTAGTGTTGTCTCTGGAATTAAGTGTATTTTTGTGTGTATTCCTCTGACATGAGACTCTGCTCACCCAGACCAATTCCACCTATAAAACCATTCTTAGCGAGATGACTACTACGGTCACAGCGTCGACATACCTCTTGTCCCAATGTAAGTGCTGAAAATACTTGTAAGATATCAGCAGTCCTTTAATATTATCCTGCTCACCCCAATCATACATTAATCCAACAAAGGTGGCAACTGCGAAACCGCAGTCAAGGTTAGATCGAGACACCAGCTTCAACATATCTGACTGCTCTCCACGAACCTATAAAATAGCTTAAAACACGATTCGAATTAATGGCCGGCCACCAAGTGGGATCATTTGAGATTATGGTCATATTAGTAGTGAATGGGGGTGGGTAAGCGACGAAATTGATGGCAGTATGACGATGGTGTTCGTGCTAGATATAGATACCACCATCCGGTGTCATGATATAACGCAGTGTCGCTCGAATGAATCAAAGCAGTCACACGCACGGAATGGCTGGAAATGATCGAAGAGCTGTCCATGATTTCCAATACCATCCCTAGAATACAAACAGAAAAGAGAGGGACTAGCAAAAAAGAAGACCTAGGCGTTATCCTTACGACCAACCTTGAAGTGGTATAGTCAATGTCACGAAACATCGATGACTCTTGGTGTTCTCAATTAGTGCCAGCCGGCTGAGTCACTGCATCATCAGAAATGAAAAAAAAATGAAGAAGGAAATGCTACAAAATAACAGTCTTTACTAGTTAACTCACATCTCTCCGCGCTGCCAATGCACACTCACAACGTTGCAACGTTCAACGTTCACTTCGCACGTCTGCAAATTTCCGAGAAAATTTGCTAATGAAACTTTGCAAATTGACTGAAACACCTAGCTAGATCAGATCAATTGAGATTGAAAACACTATTGCCAGCTTGGCAAGCTGGTATAAATAGAGTCGAAGACGGTACCAATGTATATGTCTGACTGCGCTTCCTAGAAAGTAGGCAAGCCTAAGAAGGTACATCGAAACACTTACTTCAAACATAAAGCCGGAAGACTTGCAGATCTGCACCCATTTCCTTCATCGGTTCCGCGACTACCCCACAACTCCTGTAACAGCCGGATCTTCTGATAAGGCGAAAAGATTGCAGCACGTCTACGCACTTTGGTTTGCCACCGTTTTTAGCCCTCATTTGTGCGACTGTAAATTTGGGGTTGTGGGGAGACAGACCAACCTTCTAAACATCCTTGAAATGGACGTCAATCCGCTCATCCTCCTCAAATCACGGATCAGCAGCTGAAACTTCGATCTAGAGGAGCACGGCCAGATCCTTTGCATCGCTCGCTCGATCTGTGGTTGCAGCGTCCCTTGCCTCGTGTTTACTGACGACCAAGTCATAAACCGTGGTTCCACGCTCTTCGGAAGAAGGAAATTCGTAGAGGAATGTTCAAGTCAGATGTGGAGACATGGTGGGTATGAATAATTATTGCAAGTATTTCGAAATTCGGGTCCACATTTAGAATGACACGATCACGTGCATGTGTACCTTTAATGTGTCGCGACTTTGATTCGTGTCTCGTTTTGCCCTTCTTAACTTCTTCTACATACTTATAGTCATCGACGACACCGGGCATATTCACCGCAAGTATTAATCAATCAAACCATGGCCGACGTTTCAGACGACTGGATTGTCGCTGACAGCGAGGATGAAGACTCCTTACGACCTCTTGAAATCGCTGACCAAAGCGGCCTCTTGAGCGGAAACTCGTTTTCTACAGGCCCAGAAAAGATACTACAGCGTCAGGAATTCTTTAAGCTTCATATTCTGTACCTCATGCTAACCGGGTATGATTTTGCAGCGTCACTCACTCAGACCGCGTCATTTATTACCAGTCAAGCACGAACTCCCCAGCGAGGACGTGAACCTCTCGACATAAGTAATGTGTCTCTGTTTACGCCACCTGCAGGGTACCAAGACTCTGACCCACCAAATGCTTCTCCGTTACTCCCTCGTGGCGCGGGAACACCTGTACCGAAGTCTAAACCGCGCCCACGTCCCGTGCCACGAAAGTCGCGAACTACAAGTACCATATATGACGACTTCATCAAAGACGATGAATCTCGTTCCTCTGGCTCACTCATCAGTTCTGCATCTGCAATACCAGCTAGTACCTTGGCTGCAGATAGCATCCGCCCTCCAACCACATCGCCTGCTGTCTCAGAACTCATCGAGGAGGTCGATCCTGCATTTAGCATTGCCGACCGAGCCAAGACGCGCACTCGGAAGACTCAGGTCAAGAAGCCGACTTACGTGTCTGTCAACCATGATGTGATAGAGTTAACATCCGACTCCGACCTTGACGAACTATCCCTCAAGCCTCCACGGAAGCGGCAGAAGTCCCAAGACAAGCCCGTCAAACCAAAGCCGAAACCCAAGCCTAAAGCTAGAATATTGCCTTCACCCAAGGTCACTAAACAAAGCATCGGCGATACTCAGCCGAGCGACGATGTTGTTCTTCCTGCACCACAAGAGCCAGCGCTTCCGTCCCAACTACCTCCTACAACATCACGCCTCCCGTCTTCTCTTCCTCATTCAACCGACTTGTCTTCTCCACCTTCTTCTCCACTCGTGATAACTCGCAAACGGAAGAGGGCTCCCCCGCTTGAGTCAGAGGTTCATGGCGAAGAGATTGATGTAGACGTCCCCAACGCTTCGTCGTCTTCTGTGATAACACCTCCATTCTCTGCACAATTGTCGCCCGTCGTCCCGCTAATCGATAACTCGCACGCACTTGAAAAAGTCAACGGGGAGGCAGACACCATCGCTGCTGCGAGCAAGGGTAAGAAAAAGGGCACGAAGTCGTCTTCCCGGGCAAAGGGGAAGAAAAAAGGTCGGAAACAGGCTGACGAAGTCGAGCTCGACGATCTTGCGCACAAATCGCCCCCGGATGAGCCAGCTGCAGGTAATAATGCTCTCGAGGACGACAATTTCGTTGAAGAGGCACCGAAAGTTACCTCGAAGAAGAAGGCACTACCGAAGCCCACCCC